CTCTCCAATTCTTATGAGCAGGCACCCCACGACTGCAACCCTGAGTCCCTGAGTAGTTTGCTGCCCGCTTGGCGCAGAAGGTTTGCATTCATGCAACCAGCCGGGAAACGTTCATGAGGAGTCCCCGCGCTGGCCACAGCAAGCCTTCAGCCGTCTCGAGGGCACAGCGGAGAAGACCTGTGCCAGGCTGGACTTAGTGACTAAGCTGTCAACGATACACTGTAGATCACTGTTGGTTGTAGTACCGCACGCATCTGCCGCTCGGCCATCGTATTTGGTGTCGAAGCATTGGTAAACCGTGCCGCAGAGGGAAGGCAGGCAGGTACCTATTTTTGAACTCTGTCTGTGGTCAAATATGCAAAAGGAGGGTGGCCTTCCAGTTCATGACGTGATGAATGGAAGGAACGTTTCGGAAAAATGGCGATGCTTCAGGAACATGGACGTTATCAAGATGATCCATGTGAAGGGCCAGGCAGCGAAGCGGCTCCAGGCTGGGTAAGATGCGCTCTCGGGGGCTTTGGGACATCTGACTTTCCACAGGAGATCGGGAAGATCCACGCCATGGGCAAGAGCAAGTATTCTTGGCCGAAGCCTCCAGACCCTGCTGCAATGTCAGTGCCAGTCCCAAATGCTGCAGGCCAAAGGGCGAAAGGCATCCTCCTGATCGAGGTCTCAAACTGAGCTCAACACCTTCCGAAGGGGCGGGCCAAGCATGCAGACCAAGGTATGACCGATGTGGAGGCTCGCTGCGAAATGTCGCTTATGCGGCTGAACCTTAGAGTCGTCGTGTAGCAATGGGCGGCTAGCTTGACTGGTCGTTGAACTGATTGCACGGTGCATGCAAGGCGAATATGGGCAAATAGACAGTGAGGGTGAGTGTTGGCTGTGATAGATCCGCTAAAACGCATGCTCTTCCGTTCAAAAGGCGATGTTTCTCAGCTCAGTGGAGATGCAAACGGCCAGCGGCACAGGGCGCTTGCAGTGAATTCAAAAGCTTTGGATGTTCGTTGCGTTTTAAGGATGCCATGCACGGCGCAGCACCGCCGGAACAGGTGCTGATTTTGCTCCCTGCATCTGTTTCCGGTGACTTCTGGTGGTAAGACGTGTGAGGCTTTGCCGCTGGAGGTTCGCCTGCAGCGTGAAGCCCTGCATGGGGCGGCACCGCCGGAAGAGCAGGCGACGGGACATGGCGGCGACACTCGAAAGCTTCATGGGTTGTCTCTATTCAAGCAACAAAGACATGGTTGCTTCATGACTTGTTCACTGGCAGGAGGCGGAGGGTGCAGACGCCGACGAGCCAGGCGTTGAGCAACTTAAGCCGACATACAAAGCGGACATCGGATGCCTGTCAGGATTCGTTTGCGTTCAGATCGGCTTTGCGAGATGCTGAGCTTTCTGTCGTGGATGCACGAAGGGAAGAGCAATGTCCGCTCGCGGAGGCGAGCAGCTCCTCATCAGCGCCGAACGCACGCGCCAAGGTTAGGGGACTTCATCCCAAATCGAGTTTTTTCCGTATATGTCTGACCCTTGTTTCGCTGAGTAGTGGCCAATGCCAGGTCGACCACGCTGAGAGGTGCAACGTAGTGAGCAGAACCAAGCTTGTGATGCATCCTCTCACCTGCAGGACTGACCGGGCGAGTCCCGTGTGCTCAAGCGACCGCCCACCAGGCCTGTGAAGCTAACAGGAAGATACAGGAAGAAGACACATGAACTGATGCCTGGCGAATCGGGGCGGCGGAGGTCCTTCGCGGCCCTTCACCTGCCGCCCGGCACCGGACTCACCACGCATTGCCATGCCGCTGCCTTGATGTTCCTTGCGAGCGAAGCTCAGATCTGGACCCAACTCTCCGACATCTCGGACACCCGAAAGGCCTCTGAGACGTGAGTGAAGTCTTTGGGCTGTGTCACTGCATCCGGCATTTTGCGGACCAATGCAGGAAAGCTTCATAGAGAGCTACCGGAGGGCTCGCGGAGCGGCGAGAGCATCTGCTCCGCCGCGTGTCTGGACTGGAGACGGCACGGGCATCGAAAGAACGAAAGAAACCGGCCAGAGCCTTTTCGTTCGGAGGCCTGCAGCCGGATGCCGAAGCACCACTGCGAAGGATGAAGACTGGGGCTCAGCTTGCGATGGTGGACAGCTCGAAGTTCCACTTAGAGTTGCGTGGTATAGCTTGAGTGTTTACCCCAGGTGTCGTGAGAATGCAGAGCATCAGATGATGCCTCCGCAGCGCAAGGACTGTTTCGACTTTCGATTTGAGATGCCAAGGGATGCAGCCCCATGCATTCAGGAGGTCACTTTGGAAGAGTGGCAGCCTTAAAGAAAGCAGGAGGTGAAAGGTTTCGTGGAAGTAACGTAGCTGCAACAAGGACGCCACAAGTCATCGGGGACATCGTCCTGCTGTCGCAGCTCGAGGCAAGTTCCAGTCGCCTGCTGCTGTAGCAGTGTCACCCATGACTGCGGGGGTTTCGCAGGTTTCAAGGGAAGAGGGGCGACCTCGCACACCCTAAAACCCTATCCAAACTGTTCTTGAATTCCAGCGAATCAAGCACCCAAACCGTTTAAACGGCAAATCCTCAGCCCCAGACTCGCTCATCTCCTTTACGTTGTGGGTTTGACAACAAACCCTTTACCAACAGTTTGGGGTTAGCTCCCGCCAACATCTTCTTGGAGCCCCAACATCTCCTTTTAGGGTTTGGATCCCCAACATCTCCTTTTAGGGTTTGGATTTGCCAGCAACTTGCCCCTTCCTAACGGTTTGGGGCTTTCCTCGGCAACATCTGCTTTGCATTTGAGGTTTCAGAAACGAGTTTACACCTTGAGGTTTGTTCTTGGCGTCAACTGAATTGTTACCTTTTTTCACACCTCCGACTCCCGAATACTAGCAAAACCAGTCGGTGCCCAAAAACCTAGTGTTCAGCAAGAAGCCTCAGAAAATGCACATTGCAACAGAAGTTGTGTTCCACCCAACTACGCTGCCGATGTGCTGTCGCGAGGAACACTGCTACCAGGTTTAAACCTCCGTCTTTCAGGGCCATGTCATTCACTGGCAAGATGCCAGCTCGCAGCGCACTGGGCTGGGACACCTGGAACATGGAAGTTGATGCTGGGTGCACTACACTGACCGACATGAAACCCCAAGATAGGTCTTGAGAGTGGAGCTCCTGGTTGCAAGCACCTTCTCTTGCAGGACTTGCCAGAAGACGAGCCTGTCGTGCATCAGGAGGACAAGCAGAGCAAACCCAGGTGCAGCGGGGGGCTTTTGTCACATCGCTTCGCACAGCATGCACTAACATATGGCATCAGGGATGGCGCACCTCTGCCTGATGAGAAGCCATCGATCACGGCAGCTCGTCACAAGCCCTTACAGTAGCCTGAAAGCCCTGGGCACTCTGGAGCTCTGAGGAGCTGCTTCGAGGCTGTCTGAGCCCGAGCCGAGCGGCGAAACGACGGGAAGGGCTCGCGGCGTCCCTCCCAAGCCCTCCCAGGTGCACGCAGCATCATGCGCTCGCCTGGCTTCGAGCCTGCCTGGTTCCCCAAAAGACACTCATCTCGAGAGTTCATGCGCCTGGGCTGCTCCGAGATTGTGATGTTCGTGATCGTTCTCTCCTCCATCTCGCTGTCCTTTGAGAGCCCCTTCTCCGATCCGAACTCGGAGGACGGCACCTATGGCCCTGCCTTCAGCTTGGGAGGCTGTGCCTGCGGCTTCACGTTGGATGCAGGTGGCATTCCTGCAGATGGTCATCGATCGGGTGCCCTGCGAGCTGTGTTGCAAGATGGTTCGTTCGTAGTAAGAGTGGCTAAGTTAGAGGGTATAGATCGTGCAGCTTCCGCTGCGAGTTGGCTGTGATGGTCATGCTCCTGGAGATGTTCGTTCGGATGATGGTTATGGGTCTGTGGAAGCATGGAGCTCGGACTGTTTTTGCGAGTATCCCTGATCCGTGCGCTTCGAACGTGCAGGCCCCCGAGTGAGTGTGGGCCGGGGGAGTCGTGGACCCCTCAGGCTAGTGTGGAGTAAAGAAGGCACCTTCAGACACTTAAGCACTGCGAAGCAATAATCCCAGCTGGATCCGAGGCCCGGCTTCTTTCGCGTGCCTTGGCACGTTCTGGACTTCGCTTGGCACTTGGAGCATCGCGCATCATCGCGCATCCTGCAGACATGTGCAGACGTGTCCAGACCGTCGGAACGGGGTTGGGCTTGGCTCCATCGGAGCCGAAGGTGATCTGCCTGGGTGGATTGACGTACTTGATGGCGGAATTCTTCGTCCGGACCTTGGTGTGACAGAGCTTCATTACTGCAAGTCTGGCCCCCCTCAGACCACGAACCTGGCGGAGCTGAAGTCTGTGCAGACGCTCAGCCTTTTGCTGGAGATGCACCTGATGCAATGCTTGGTGATCTGCAGCGACCCAGTCAGTCCTTCCAGGTCCGAGCCCTAAAGATGGTGTCAATGCTGCGGCCACTGCGGTTGATTGGAAAGACCAGCTCAGTGCGGTTGATCATCGAGGCCATCTTTTCTGTTCCACATCCTTCCACCAAGTATGTCTCGTCTTGCCAGTCGCTTCTTGCAGCGATTCCAACGCTCGTCAACATGGCCTACCTGTCATGGTTTGTTTGTCGTGTGCGCGGAACATAGCCCAAACTGGAGTGTTTGGTGTCATGCCTGTCTCGCTGAATTGCAGACAATGGTGAGCGCTCTCTTCTACCTCGGGTTCGGTCTGCTCTTCGTGGGATTCTTCAAGGGTTCCTTGGCAAACTAAGAATCATACAGGATCTGCAGTGAAATAGCTCCCCTGCTGTCGCAGGTGCTCTGTATCATTGTTCGCTTGATCCTCAAGGACGACGTCAAAAGGTGTCAGAAGTTGTCGTGGTGTAAGAACATGTAAATATATGGATTTGGACGGATGAATGTGGATATCAATTGAGTGTATGCAAACAGCTGTTCGACTCGATTAGGAGATCTCATGCCAGAGATCGTGACACAAAAAGATTGCTTGAAAGCAGGCCAGCATCCACCAATGTCACTGTCTCGACAATATGCTCCGTTTCGCAGGCGGAGAATGGATCAACAGCGTGTCCCATTTCGATGCGGTGACATATTCCTTGGTGCGCCACTCTCCGTGCGTGCTGTGGTCAAAGATGAGTGGGGGGTGTGACCGTGATCGTCGTAGTCCTGCAGGTCACGTTGCTGCACATTGGTTCGGGGGAGGGCTGGATCGACGTGACCCTGAACATCATTGGGGCACAAGGCACTTCAAGAGATACAGCCAGATACAGCCAGATACAAACTCGCGGCTTGCAGGTGTGGCTTTGCAGCCGTGGACTCAGTGGGTGCCGGATGGTGTCGGCGGAGCGGAGCTGCGGGTGTGCTGAGGCCGAGGCCGAAGACCAGGGTGGAGCAGGCGATCCCTGTTGTGATCTTCATGGCTCCTTCGCAGCAACTGGGGTTCTGCAAAACACGCTCCTGCAAATTTCTGAACTACCCAGACTCCCAGACCAAGGCTTTGACGAACTTCTTCCTGTTGTCACCCGGTCGCGCGTTGAAGATTGAACATGCTTTTGCTCCCCCTTTCGCCATGAGATGCATGGTTGTTTTGTTAAGCCAGGAATCTGCTGACCGGAATATTGGTGGACTCGTGCGACTTCTGCTGTCTTCCCTGCTTGCTTTCGCGAAGTAGCGTTCGACTGTTGAAACTCCAAAAAGCCTTGCCCACGCCACGTGGATGGGAATGGCGTGCTTGAGATGTAACCTGTGTTCGGTCAACGAATACCGGGGCTGAATCGGTAGCAAAGCCAGTGAGCGTTTGAGGTACACCAGTACCAAAGCGGAATTCTCGGGGCAGAGCAACAACACCTCAGAGGACGGGCAGTCTGGTTGCGTGGATGAAGCCGTGGCAACTTCAGCTGCAGGAGAGGTTGATCAAGAAGCTGCAGAGGGAAGTCCTGCTCAATCCGGTGCGAGTCCGAACATCCGTTGCTTCCTCTGTTTAGTTGCTCGCTCTTGAATTGCAGGAAGTCCTTCTCCCACCGCCGCGAATCGATGTCCGAGGCAGGACAGCTTTTCAGGTCACTCGATCTTTCCTGACACCGACAAATCGTGCAAAGCTTTTTTGGCACCTGTCGGAGGCAAGTGCTGCCTCGCAACACGAAAGCGGCTGAAGTGGTTCATCGAGCCAGCGCCTTCGAATTCGCGCTCGTGGAATAGTCTTTGAAGCTCTGTGGGCAGAGGCACCGGATCTCGCGAAGCATCATCTTCGTGGGCATCCTGAGCAATGCAATCGTGCTGTCAGCTCTCTCAGCTCCCTTCACTGTCGCTGCGCTTTGCAGCAGAACACCACTGGGTCACTGAGGGGCATCTCCCCGGTCATCTTCCCCGAGCTGCTGGAGTTCCGGAGGACCGAAGCAGGCTCCAGGTTATGTCAGCTGCAGAAAGACGGGGAGATGGTGGTGCTAGTTTCGTGCACCGCCCTCGTTTCAGGATCGTGAGTGGACTCTTGCTGGGGCTCTTCTCACTCGAGGCCCTCAACGAGGGCAGAGTTTTCCTGATCGACCGGACTTAGGGCGCAATATGGCGCAATGGTGTGGTTGTGCGAGCAAGCGTATTCGAGAAGCCGTATGGATGCATCGGCCTAAAGATCAGTAGAAGCTTGCATGCCACAGACTCTTCTATGTGAGCAGAGTGGATCGTACGGTTGACATGTCGGGAATTAGAAGCGGGCGTGTTTCATCTGTTGCTGTCAGCTCCTTGCTGTCGTCACATTGCCAGCTTGCGATCAAGATCTTCGTGTACAGCCGGGACTTTTTCAAGGTCTGCGCCTTGAATCGAGGACACAAGTTGCTCAAAATTTCAAGCTCGTCACAGGACAAATGGCATGCTTATGACAGCTTTGCCATCACCGGGCCGTCGTCTCAGGGCTTCCAAGCAGCTCCCCAGCTCCACTCAGCCAATCTGAAGCAGGTCCTTGATCGGTGCATTGGTTAATGCCCTCGTCGCCGAAAAGGCGCTAAAGTGGTGAACACGCGCCACATCAGCTGCAGGGACACAGAGGCTCCGTATTAATTTGCAGGGGGTCATGACGCAAATCCTGGGTGGCTTCCAAATCCTGCGGATTCTCATGCTGGCCTCCAGCTCGGCCTGCACGGCTTCGCGAAAAACAAGGGATCCCTGAGTTTTTCAGGTTCGCTATGCCTGGTTCATGGACAGCATCACCAGTACGATTTGGGTGGCTTTGCGCAGGACTCAGATCGGCTGCTCGGGGCGTCGCACGAAAGTAACCGTAGCACGAATGGCCGGAGCCCGACGGGCCCGGACCGAGGCCTGGACTCTTCCAGGTCTCTGCGCTCCTGACGCTGCTCATGTTCATGCCGTGGGCTAAGGGGCTAATTCTAGCTTAAACATGCACCTGGGGAGCCTTGCTGTCGGAACCTCAGGTATGCGTGCCTTGGCGTGTCGCTCTTCGGTACTATCATGGGCACAGACGAGGCGATCCAGGAGACGTGTTCATTCTGGCTGGACCTGCCCAGTGTGTAGTGATAATATGCAGTGATAAAGCAGCGGCGTAGCCATCGCGGCGTGACGGATTAAGCCCACGCCGCCAGGCTGCACAATCGGCCATCGACGGCAGCTACCCCTTGTCCGATGCCCTGCCTGCATGCTTATGAGAGTCCCACTTTTTCGGGGCGCTCAACAGGCCACGCCTTGACAGAAAACGATACTAAAATCTATTGCTGCCCGCCATGACAGTCCAACTTCTATAGCTTCAACAACGCTTTTCTACTGATGATCCGATGTGCGACAGGGGAGAGGCTTCAGCTGACATGTTCATTTTGCTGATTGAGATTCTTGCGTTATTTATGATTGGTTTCTGAGCGAGGTGGCACGACATCATGTATGATCTGGCCGAAGACAAGCCAAACTGCACCACGACGGCACAGACTTACGAGGACGAAACGTGTCGAACTGCGGCCATAATGTGGACGAACTAGTCCGGCAGATGCTGCAAAAGAGGACCTGCAGCAGAACGGGCCTCGTGGATGCGGCAGCATGTTTGCGTGAGCCATGCAGTCTCGGTCTCCTCATGAAGCGTACGTGGCATGCCCTTGGCATGCGGCATGCTTCGGCAGGTATCCTTATTTCGTGAGCTATGTCCTGATCGTCCTCTTCAACATGATGAACTTGATCATCGCGACGGTGCTGGATGCGTGCTCTGTGGTAGTTCCTTCTGCTAGATGGTTGGAGGTTGGTCCCTGTCTCTTCTGTGGGCAGCCGCCACATGCCGCCGTACTGAGCATGACACCCTCAGGTACGGACAGGTGCACGAGCTCATTGAACTCGAGGACCGTTACACGATGTTGCAACAGCTGTCCTGCTGTGTCAAGCGCTTTGAGCTCGAGGATTTTATGGTTTGTCTGCGTGCGCTGCCCACTGCCCAGTTCAGCGCTCCACAGATTCCCAGCTGTTCATGTCAATGTGGATTCGCCACGAGCCAGGCGGGACTCCTGGGTAGATATCGACAGAAACTTCTTGGGCTACCTTCACGTTGCGGAAGTCGCTTTGTGCTCAGCAAAAAGTCAACGTCGAAGGGCTTTGTTTGCCAAGTCCCCTGCTGAGGAGAACATCCTGCTCAGTATCCCTCAGCCGGTGGGCTTCATCGGCCTCAAGAAGTCGCTCGGCTCGAGAGAGCTCGAGTGCCGATCTGAACCATTGCCTGCAGCGACAAGGCGACAGCTGCTCCGATCCCTGATGAACCTCCAAGTGCACGAGGGAAGGCACGCACTTCTGCAGCTTGCATGAAGCACGGAAGCAAGTTTGCGCAGCATTCCATGCCGGCAAATTGCCAGCATGCTGGCCTATCGGGATGTCGTGAAGTTGGTGGCGCAGCGCTCGTCCACCCGGCATGTAGGACGTGGGAAACACAAGCTGTCCACAGCTTCCGACGATAAAAGCCGTGTACGCTGTGGCGGTGTCAGGGTGCTGTTTCTCAGCGGGGAGCTTCTGCTCCATCCTCAAGAGGCGTTGTGACATGTTGCACACTTGAAATAGTGCGAAGACCACTCAAACTACAGCGGAGGCGGAGCTCGATGAACAGGCTCTTCACACTTGGAATGCCGCCTTTCCGGACCGTGCTTTGCTCCGCTTCTCGATGTTGAGAACTTCTTGGAGGCCGCTTTAACCTTTAAAGTTTCCAGGAGCTGCCCCCCGAGCCGCCCTCAGACGCCATCCTTATCGCGCACATCGTCATCGCCAGGTGTGGCAAAGCGATGGGACGCACGATCCAGATCGATCAAGCCTTTGCCAGCTCCTGCTGCCAGGCGAACCGCCATTTACATCCGCAAGAAGCCGCTCGTCAATAAAGAGATGAAGCAAGCAAGAGAATCATTCTGTTTCTTTTGCAGTTTGTTTGTTTTTCCCAGTCTTGCCTTTCTGCAGGCGTTGGGAGTGGAAGCAACGCAGTCGCTCGGGACAGGCCGTGGGGCTTGAAGCGCTGGCAGTTTGCATGTCGACATGCAAAGTGTGCAGAGACAAAAGTCATAAAAAGGAAATCTTGCTACTCGTAGCATCGGATGTGGCCCCTTGGAATTGTAAGAGTCACTGCAAACCTTCTAGAGATTGTCCGGAAGAGTGGGCATTGCTGCTGCCAGAGTCTGCATGGTGAACTCCTGAGATCCTTTGAGTATTGCAAAGAGGGGCGAGCTCGTAGAGTCCCATCTGCAAACATCCATGCGCACTACTAGTTTACTGTGTGTCACGCAGTGTCCGCCACCTGCAGGGTGCAATGCGGAACCTCAAGAAGGCTGCAGCGAACAGAGGCAATGGTTCATGTTGCCATGTTGCTCGATGACATGCGGAAGGGTCCTAGTTCCGCAGGTCCGGCTGATGTGGCCCGGGTTCGCTCACCACGGAGCTCACCCCGTGGCTCGCCCCGGGGATCACCACGGAGTGGTTCGCCCCGGAGCGGCTCGCCACGCAGCGGCTCGCCGCGGAGCGGCTCGCCGGCATCGGAAGGCTGGACTGCCTGCCAGTTTTCCGGAACCGCGCCGTGGATTCCATGAATCTGATAGGCAAGGATGAGGCTTGGGAGGACGGCCACTCGAGTTCTGAGCACGCTGAAACACGCAAGAAGCTCTCACTGCAAGCAGCAGGAGGCTATGTACAACGTGGACGTCGACATAGACACGGCCCTTGCGGGCGTTTGGCACTTCTGGCTGTATTACCATCTCATCTCCAGGACGGTCAGACCGGTTAACTGCTCCCCGACCGGTGTGCAGCCATACAGACGCAGAGGGGATGAAGAAAGCTTGTGCCAGGGAGCAAAGCGATGATCCCGGTCCACCAACCTCCATTTTCGTGAGCCAGTTGGCGCAGTCATCTCAGGGCAGACTGCAGCTATGCAATCTTGTGTGACGTCTCGCATAAGCCACAAGCATAGTCCTGGGATCTTCTAATCCTTTAGCCTTTGGTCCGACTTGTCGCCTTCGTTCCCACGAGGCCCGAGGAGACAACCCAGATGCAGCGCTCGCGCAAGCTGCCCCAGCTGTCTCCGTTGCGGGGCGGCCCAGAGTGCCCAGAGAGGAGAAAGGCCCAGAGAGGAGAGGCCTCCGAAGTCAGTAGAAGACCCCAAAGACGCTCCACGAAGCCGAGGAGGTGGCCTCCACAGGAGCTGGAGAAGTACCAACCCGAGGAAGAGCCCGTCTTCACGCAACGCCCTCAGTCCGAGGCGCTCTTGCGAAAGCCCTCACGGCCTCACGCTGCTGCCTTCCTCTCTCAGGAATGCAGAGAGCTCTATGTGGGCCAAAGTGGCTGACCTTGCGCAGGGGAAGGACTCCAAGCCTGGGTGGAAGGAGTGATCTTGCCGCGGCCTTACATTTCCCGGGCACCCAGTCTGACATGGAGGCTTGGGGCATGAGTTAGACAGGTAATCTGTTGGGCACTACGACATTCTGAAACCTCGTTAATGACTCCTGGGCGCAGTGGTGAAGCGCGGTTGAAGCGCTCCGCGGCGCTGCCCCTAGGAGACTTTTCATGTCGCAGCCACGCTGCGAGCTGCTGGCAAAGCCACCAGAGTAAATGTAGCGAAGCGTGGGTGCCACCAGGAAGGCTCCTGAGGTCCTGTAGTAAGAACAAGGAGACTGGCTATAGACCGCTAAGTGACAAGACCTCTTGCCGATCCGAGTTGTTGAAGTTGTTACTGCCACGACCCGAGCAAAGACTTCTTATGTCACCTCGCTTGTCCCAGAATTAGGTGCATGCCGGCATGCTGAGCAAGCGTGTCATGCCCGAACATGTGCCGTCTCACACAGAGAAGCCAGATGCCAAAGATGCCAAAGATGCTTGGCGCATGTAAAACAAGTTGCATGATGAACCGGGTCGAACTGAAGCAGCGACGGCTTTGAAAGGTTGAAGGCCTTTGTGGTGGTGTGCATGCGTGAAAGGAATGACGTACGTCATGCGGCGGCGTCGTTGACCGCCAGTGTAAGATCAGGCTCTCTTCATCCCCAGCCCACCATGGATCTAGGATTTGTTGGTCTACCACTTCCTCGCCCCTATGGCCTGAGGTTGCCCTACAGGTATGTTCATGTATGCTTGGTTGCACGGTTTTTTCACGGTTTGGCAAGGATGTTAAGATTCGTCTCTCCAGTGGACTACTCATCGCTTTGGTCTGGGTGGGTGCGGCGCAGGTCCAGCTTGCATCAAAAGAGCAGGGAGTGGTTACTGTAGGAAAAAACGAGTTACGATCCTCTGGCTTCTCATTTGCCCCCACGTAATGGTGGCCGCGGCTCGCACGAAGCTTTGGCAGATACACGTTCGACACGCTTCCTCGCCTCTCGCCGAGCTTCCGCCCCACACCCCCTGCCGCTGACTTCGCTGTGCAGGGTTTCCCAGCTTAAACCCTGGCAAGAAGCTTTCCAAGCCACCAATGGCTTCCCCACCCAGCAGAAGAGGGGAAGCTTCTGACTACGCTGCCACGCCACCCGAGCCAGCAACGAGGGCGCTTGGGACGCGAGCTTCACTATCTCCGGCGCCGGTCCGGGGATCTGCAGCCTGGATGCCTTCTTCAGAACCCATGCGGCCTGTGCCGCGGGAGTGCTCTGGACTCCTCTCTGGGACAACCTCCGGTCCTCTGGTGCTCACCTTGGCAACGGTCTGGCTCGCATCGGGCGATGCGTTCACGCAGAAAGGACTGCGACGCAAACGCGTTGGAACGCTTGCTCGCTATCGACGACCGGCAACGTCTTCAGGAACGCGATGACCAATCAACATCCAAAAGGTTTGTCAATGAACGAATGTATGCCGACGACACGCTTCTGATAGCGTTATTCACATTTTGGAAATCCATGGAGTCCTGTGACATCCATCCGGCAAAGCTTCCGCGGAACTCAATCGCGGGTTGGGTTTGGTAACTGCAAACTTCCATGCGTTGTGCCGGTTCTGGAAACACGCAGTGTGTGGACACAACAAAGCAAGTACAGATTTTACTTTCAGCTCGCATATTTCCAAGCTGATGTACTTCCCTACGCACCGCGTGGTTTGGAAAAGCGGACGCCTGCAAACGGAATGCTTTCCAATCTCGGTGTCTTCGTCAAATTTTACTCATCCCACCTTCGTTCGTGAGTCGTGTTACATGCACTGCGACAAGCTGAATTTGCGAAATTGTCTTGTATTTTGCAACAGCGACAGCTGCAATCCCGTCAAAGGATGTGATGCGCAAAGTATGTTGCTTTCAAGCTGTCTGATTCTGCTCGACGACTCAGCGTGGCTCCCGGCCCTGCGGCCGATGACTCCACCATCTCCGGCCCGCCGGCCCGCTGTTACATGTTCTTCTTTCTGCTGCGTCGGTTGCGTCTTCCGTTGCCATTGTGCCTGAAGCCAAACATGAAGACCACGAACCGACCTCAAAAAGACCCGGCAGACCACACTAAGACTAGCCTAAGCAATGTGCAAAATGACCGGACCCGAACAGTGGTCAAAAACCTCCAGCGCGCTCCGAACTTCCCTCTTAGCTTAGCATCCCAAAATTGCTTGCTGGGACATGCACAAGACCCGCCGGGTGATCAATGCTTGCGCCCGGCACCCCACGGGCGCGCAGGCAGCTCGGGTGGCAAGGCAACCGGGTGAACAGATAGTCTAGTTGAGCCGCTACACAGCTACGAAAAGAGCGGGGGTTTCAAACACAATGCGCATGATTGGGCTGGCGGAGCCGCCGCGGCACTCGTCCACAACGGTTCCGGCACTGGGGATGTCCACGTATGTCCACGTTGGGGCTTGAGATCCGTGAAGGCTCTCACGAGGCGCGAGCGTGCCGGGTGGCATTCCCGCCGCAAGCGCCTATCCAGTCCGCCAAAAACGCCTAGTGCTCACCGTCAAGTTTGGCAATGTTGGGGATGGGAAGGGACAGCAAGCTGGTGGCGAAGGCACACGTAGTTGTGACATAGAGAAAGCCAGACCACTGTCCGAAAGGCGGCACCAAGCCTGCCCGTTGCGAAGGGGTACAGCGCTTCGCCGCGCGAACAATCGGACAAAAATGGGTGCTTCGGCACCTTATAAGTTCTAGACCAAGGACAACAAGCACCACAGGCACGACGCCGACGGGGCACATTGGCAGAAGTAATGTTGCGTCAACAGCAAGCTGCGAGCCATCCTACGACGGCAAAGCATTGGCGATGACCCGGATGCAACGCTCATCTCGCACGAGGACATTGGTGCCAATTTTAGCAGTTCAGCAGCAGCCTGACGGCGAGCACCACCAAAAGCTGTAACCGCCGCCAGCCTCTGCCAGCGGAGGTGTGTCGTGCGCGTCCACAGCATCGATCGCCAGTAGCCGAGGCTCAGAGCTCTCAGTCTGGGTGTGCCAGGCCTGTATCGGATCACACACAGGTACATGGTACACTTTCGCAGCCCTGCAGGTAGGCTTCGCACGGCCCAGGAGGAACTCCAGCAGCTTTCGGCGTTTTAGATCTTTTTAATTTTAACGCTACGCCGCCCGCCTCGGCTGCTAAGGGGCACGCAAAGCTGCGGCTCATGAGTAGTCTACGGGGGGGGGGGGTGGAAAATGGACGCAAAAAGCGGGTGGTTCCAACCGATTGGACTGCAGGGAGGAGGATTAGGCGGAGGTAACCCCGAACACGCATCAACGGTGGCAGTGTGCGCGAGCGGGAGGGAAAGGAGACTCGCTGCGAGAGCACGGGCGGCTGCAAAAGAAACTAGTGCAGACCAGAGGGCGGTGAAAGCGCTGGCCCACTTGCATGCGGCGCTCGTTGCCGGCCAAGGAAACAGTGCGGGTGCAGGGAGAACCTGGAAGCTTTTCCTATACTTGCCCCCCGCGAATGCTGCTCGCGCACCCGGAACACCAGGGCGCGCAAGGCAGGGCGCTACTCCTCGCAAGGGCACACCTTCCAGCGCGGGGAGTGGTCGCAGTTGCTGGCCGCCGCACGGCCCAGCACGCGTCCCGAGACGCCGCCTCAGCTCGACGCGGAGGCTCTGGCGGAGCGGAAGCGCGAGAAGACGCGTTGCTGCACGTTTTCATGGGGGAGCAAGCGGCGTCGGCACTGTTGCGCGATGTCACCGCACTGCACCATGATGGCCTGCCTGCCGCCGGTGATGCCGCCCCCCTCCTCAAGTTCCCGTGTGCTACCCTGCAGCTGCTCGAGGCGAGCCCTTGCTTCCACTTCCAGCTCTTCCCCGAGTTCGCGCAGCACTAGCCCTGCCAGCGGATCTGAGCGCCCCGCGCTTGTTCACGCTAGCCCTGTCGTGCCGGACCAAACCCGTGCAGCCAGCCCCCAGCAAGCCGCGGCTCAGGACGCCTCCCCCGGCCAGGCAGATTCGCACCTCCGTTTGCCAGGGATCGAATTGCAGGGTCCTCGCCTACACAATGCACTCCTTGCCTTGGACCGCTACAATGCTGCAGACACTCTGAACCGGCCATGTGCTCTGTTCCATGTCCCGCCCGGCTTCATCCGTGGACATTTGCGGCAAGCCCTCTACTGCGCACTGGCCTGCGTCAACACATGCCCTGATCCTCTCGGAGTCGATGCCGAACGTGCGTGGAAGCTGTGGCTGCTCCTCCCCCGCATGTTGCTCCACCAGCCAGGAGGTGCGACCCGGGTGCCCAAACCTGCACGCAGGGCCAGATTCCAACAGTTCTTTCGAGGGGAATGGCCAGCCCTGCTAGAAGCTGCCGAAGCCGCGACTCCCGCGCAAACCTCTGCTGCACCGCCCCAGCCACGTCAGGATGCGTGCCGTTCACCTTGCACACCTCGGCGAGTTGTCAGCCGCGCGTCAGGCGCTGCTCGCCGAGCCCCTCGCCGCAGGGGATGACACCACCTTGCAACACCTACGCGACCCGGCCCGACGCCCGGTTGAGCCTTACGAACCACTTGATCCCGACCTTTTGGCTTGGTGCCCCGACTCCCCCGTTGAGCTTTCTTGCCCAACCCTGCTCACCAACCTGCGGCGCTCCAGACGGGGTGCCGCGCCGGGCCCCAGCGGCTACACGGCCGAAATTGTCCGGCTCATTCTGGATGACCCTCGGCCGCGGTCGGGGCGGTCGCCACCCGCCTCGCACGCGCACAGCTGCCTGCAACCACTGCGCAAGCCATTGGTTTGGGGCGGCTCATTGCCATTCGCAAACCTGCCGGAGGGGTTCGGGGCATTGTGGTCGGTGATTATCTGCGCCGGCTGGTTGCCAGGACTTTGGCTCAACACTTCGCCCCGGCGTTCGATGTTGCCACCCGGCCCCACCAATATGCACTTGCTACCCGTGCTGGCACCGAAGCCCTCGCCCACAGCCTCCAGCTTGAGGACCCCACGTCGACGGTCCTCTCGGTTGATGGTGTCGGGGCCTACGACC